TTCTTTTTTCTTTTTTTTCTTTTTTCTTCTCTTTTCTTTCCATATCGTCGAATTGTTAAGTTTATCTGCATTGTGAAATTTTGATCTATCATACATCGACGGATATTAATATCGAGTATCGTTCTCATATATTTGTAAATTTATTTCATCTAAATTTTTCTTCGTTTCTTTTCATTTTTTTTTTCTTTCGTAGATTTTTCTTTTCGTCTTTTTTTCTTTTTTCGAATAAATAAAGTAAAGAAAATAATTGTTAGGTCCAATGAACTTCTTTAAAAATTGACTTTAAATATTTATTTTAAAATATCGAAACAATTTAATATCAAATTGTATTACGAAGTTATATTTACGATAACAATATCATCATATATTTCTTTTTAAAAAATAAATTATAAAACGATGATATTGATTTATTTTGTTATTCTGAAATTAATTCGTAACTTTACCAAATAAAACAATATTATGCAAACTAATAATTATTAACCTATGAATGCGATGGAAATTATTTAAAATATTTCTAATATTTCTTTTGGAATATTTTTAAAACATGCAAAAAAAATTTTTTTCGTAAATATATATTTATATATATATATAATATAAAATATATAAATCACTTTTCTTTCTATAAACTTTTTATCCGTCAAACGAATATACCGAGATTATATTTATCTAAAATTAATTTCGCAATCTACGTATTAATTGTTACTTTTTACAGCATCTTTTTATCTTCCTAAAATTTTCTTTTCCCTTTTCTTAATCGATCACATTTCCCCGATAAATAAATAAATCGATAAATTGAATGAATAATTACGAACCAACGAAACGTACCATTTCCGTAGATCGTAAAACACGTCGAACGACAATAATCATTCGTAACGGGAGGAGCGGCTAGTCTCGAAGATGGCGAATTTATCGGGACGCCTCATTAAAAAAAAGGGAAGGAATGGAAGGAAGAAATCGTGTTTCTTGCTAATAGCGGTACCCAATCACGTGCATAGCTCTATCCAGCTCGCGAGACATTTAATCGAAAAGGTAATCGCATTCCGGCGTCCTCGTAAACGTTTATCTCGATGCTACCGAGAATGGAGACAGATTAATTCTTCTCTCTCTCTCTCTCTCTCTCTCTTTTTCTCTCTTTCTCTCTCTTTCTCTCTCTTTCTCTCTATCTCTCTCTCTCTTTCTCTCTCTATGCTTTCGTCGTCTTTTTTCTTTTTTCTATTTTTCTTCCATTTTTTTTTTTTCTTTTTTTTTCGATTATGAATAGCTTTATCTTCCTCATGTGAACCTCAATACAGGTCGATATACCAGATAAGGGATGAGAATTTTTCCACACGATCGGCTTGTCTTCTCCATTCTAATAATTTTTAAAATCGCATCCGACCTTTCCAAGTACGCAAGGATCGATAACTAAGATGGGATTAGAAAATCTTCGAATACCGATGGGGATATTTGTATTCTCTTACTTTTGTTAATTAATATTCGTATTTCTATTGGAACATTAATATAATATACGGCTAGATAATAAAAATTAGATAATTGACCACTTTCATCTTACTTTCCTAAGTGTTCGTGTCCTTCCATTTCGAACGATTTTTTCTTTTTTTTTTTTGTATTTTTTAATTAAATACAATTATGAAATACGTTTTTTTTTACACTCGTATGTAATATTTAAACGCAAAATTAATCTCAGTTACGTGCATTGTCTCGTTCGTATAATTATCTCAAAGAGAAAAAAAAAACGAAGAAGAAAAAAAAGGAAAAGAAAAAAGAAATTTTTTTCAATTCGTTTGTAAAATTAAAAAATATATCTCCCCTTTCCCCTTCCCCCTCTCGTCCAATATCCAAAAGAAAAGTGTCTATTACAAATATAATTAATTACATCGATTATAATTATATTTGGGGATATATATTTTCTATGTAATTTTATTAAAAATATTATCACGTATGTTTCGTTATATTAAACGTTCTCTATCATGACATTAAAATTTCTATTTAAGAACGTAAATCGTTCTCAAGATAAACCATTACCAAAAGTTTTATTCATGGAGTAAGAAATCCTCCCAGAATCTTCGCAGTAAGCAAACTTTAAATCGATCAAAACTTGTGAAAGAAGTTTATTACATTACGTTCTAAAATATCACATATTTGTAATATCAAATTCCTATCATATCATTCACTTAGAATCCATTGCTAACGATAAAAATTCATAACCAGGCAATATCTAATAGAAATAGTTATAGGATGTATTCAACGTTTTAATATCCCTTTTGCGTATAAAATTACTCATTAGATTGATCGATCGTTCGCAGTATAAAGGTGACCGTAATAGTGAAATTAACCTTTCTCGATGATAAGAAATGAAAGCAGAAAACTCGTGAATGAGCGATAGGATGAGAGATAGAGAGATAGAGAGATAGAGAGAAAGAAAGAAGACATAGAGATAAATTGATAGAGAGAATGATATATATATATATATAAAGAGAGAGAGATAGAGATAGAGATATAGAAAGAGAGAAAAAGAAAAAGATAGTGAAAGAGAGAGAGAGAGAGAGAGAGAGAGAGAGGAGAGAGGGAGGAAAACGTTCTAACAAAAAATATAAAACCTATTGGTCCACAGGGATGTTTGGAGAATCGTGGCTCCCCTGGGAGGAGCGGCGGAGCAGGAGGAGGAGGAGGAGGAGGAGGAGAAGCAGGAGGAGGAGGAGGTTCACGGGGTACCGGGTGTGATTCAGGAGATTCGCAGTCGCAGCCATCTCGCGGAGGACGTCATGGAGCCTCGGAAAGTTCTTCATCGAAGGACGGTGACCTGCTTTCACATGCGGCTTCCGCTTTGCGTAGACTTCACTTCAAATCCGCTGGTGGAAGTCGTAGTTGTCGTACGGTGCCAAAAGTCGTGGTCATGGGTTCCAGTACAGCGTCTGAGACCACGATCAACACCAGTACCGATAGCGCCAACACTATGGTCACTATGGTGAGACAATTGTTTTTTCTTTTTTGTCTTTTTATTATTATTATTATTATTATTATTATTATTATTATTATTATTATTATTATTATTATTATTTATTCAATCAATGGAAACAATGATTATTTAAATCAATCGTATCGAATCGTTTTAATCACTACGATTTAGATAATAATAATAATAATTATTATTATTATTATTATTTTTTTGTCTTGTTTTTTTTTTAATGAATATCTTTATCACATTAATAAATTCTTATTATTATCTTTGATTATTAATAAATATATTTTCTTATATCGTAACGATAAATTTATCATTGAACGCTCGATGAGTCAGGAAAGTAACCGTCGAAAATAACGTGACTAACTCTAACATAAGTGTCTTATCCCCACTTTCTTGCACTTTATCCAATTCCGTATTTCATGCTTTATCAAGTTCCGTTCTAAGAGCTTAAATTACCTACAGTGCAGATCTCTTTCTCAGTATTATGCTATAACAGTTAATAATAATTAAATATCTTACATATAAAATATATATTATCTTTAATGATTAATAGTTAATTAAGATTTACAATAATTAATACAATCGAAAATTAATACAATCGATTTGTGATAATTATTAACAATTATTATTATTATTATTATTATTATTATTATTATTATTATTATTATTATTATTATTATTATTATTATTATTATCATTATCATTATTATTATAGAAATTTTCAAATAGGTAAAATGATAGAGGGATGAAAATATTATGTCTAATGATAATTACATATGCACGTTAAATGTAATAATGAATAATATCAAAGATTCTCGATTCTTTAAAGCTTTTGAAAATATCTTTCTACTTTCACACAATAATTTGAGGAAATTTGTAAAATTCAATTGATGTATTTTGATAGAAATTTCGTAAATGGTCGGATCTAACAATGACGTAATTCCTTCGAGAGGTATCAAGGAAGTACAATTGGACCAATTTAGAACTTTTCAATGATCATATTCATTTCGAATATTTCCTATTTCATGAAAGGTAGAATTGGAAATTATTCAAAAATGGATACACTACATTTAATAAGAATTTTCTTTTTCTCGAAAGATTCAAAATAATTACAAAAGAATCAGAACACCAAAAGATTATTATTATTATTATTATTACCATGCATATATGTTTTTTTGTGAGTGTCAAAGATGCATTTAATGAAAGTTTTTCTCGTGAAAAAAATTGATAAGAATTATAACCCTTAGGATTATTAATATTATTATTATTATTATTATTATTATTATTATTATTATTATTATTATTATTATTATTATTATTATTATTATTATTGTTACTATTATTATTATGTATATATGTTTCTTCTCAAGTGCCAAGGTGCCTGGTCCTTTAAGGCATTTGTGAGGACAAATCCAACACAAAGCGGCCTTGTGAGAATTTATAATGGAATTGTGCAATGAGATGTGAACTGTTGTTATTAAAATGAAAATTAAATAAATGACTAAGGCTATTGTGGTGCTACGGATTAATTATTACTATTATTATTACTATTATTATTACTGTGATAGACATTAACGGAGAAGAGGTCACACGATATATAATTTTAGGATTTTTATTTGTTTTAAAAATATAGGTGAAAATATAGTTTCATTAAAAAATTCAGAATTCTCGAATTTTTATCTCGAAATTTTATATTTCTCTTTCTTTCTCTCCCTCTCTCTTTCTCTCTTTCTCTCTTGCAACTTTTTACTGATTATTTATCATCGTTATATTCAGAATATTTCTACGATTTAGGTATTTAAATCTAACGACGAAATTATTTTTCTGTTTTCAATATTTAATTATCATGTTTATAACTCGATAGTTCAAAGAGAGATTATTTTAGTCCACTGAGGTATCTCCAGGCTCTTAAGCTAACCTTCTCACGAGTGTCTATTTAAATTAGAATAGAGATACTCGTCCCCATAGTAATAAAGTTACAAGTATAGTTTATACTTGCTTATACCAAGCTATATTGCCGTAAAGACCACTGCAAAGGACTAACATCGAATGGTTTATTACTTCATTATGGCGAATCTTCCTTTATTCTTGCTTTATCATTATTTAACAACAAGCCAATTGAACTTTGTTTATGATTTGATATATCTTTCATTTCTGTCAGAAGTTTGGAAAATTTAAAAAAAAAAATTCATTTATATTGAGAAAAAATTAATAATAAATTTTAAGACAAAATTCAGTTAAAAATTCATTATCGTTGTAGAAAAAAAAAAAAAAAATCAAAGATAAATGTACGAAATGAAAACCAACGTAATGCATAAATACGGTATAAAGTTTCACTCGAGACATATCATTCGCAATATATATATATATATATATATATATATATATATATATATATATATATCAGTGTTATATCTAATAGAAACTAATTTATATTGGTTACATAACTATATGATACCACAATAGTATATACGCGATTGGATTGTCCCGTTAGCACGTATCTCCTATTATTTGTTATTCATAACATGAGTGTTATATATCAGAAATTATTAAATCGTTTGAAATATTGACGCAATTATTTGATTCAAATGATACAAGAGCAATTATCGATGAAAATTAGGGATGAATATTACTTTATCGATTTTTGTTTGATTTACAATCGTAACATTATAATGGGATAATTAAAGGGTATTGTTTATCGTATATCGTTTTTTTTCTTTTTTCTTTTTTTTTTTTTTTTGAATATACCTTTATTACGCATTTGTTTTTTTTTTTTTTTTTTTTTTTAACTAATCTTTTACTGTGGTATTATAGAAACAAATGTCTATTCTCTTATACGCGTATTGAACATTTCATTTATTTATTTATTTATTTATTTATTTATTTATTTATTTATTTATTCCTTTTTTAATTTTTTACTTACGTTCCATCAAATCCGACCTTCCTGAAATTTTTGCAAATAATGTTTAGATAATGAAATATTATTCTTAATTTTTTGTGATAGGTCTCACTCAAAGGATCCTTTGCAAGAATCATCCCAGAAAAATAAATTATTTCTTTTTTATCTTTAACGATTGATCTATAATTGATTCTGAGATAAGAAATTTCATAGAATGACTTTTCAGGCGAAGAAGATATTTTTTTTAACAAATAATAATAACAACAAAAATTGACACGGAAATTCACTCCGTGTCTATATTTATCCTCCTATAAACTCTTTGATTCGATTTGAGAATCTTCAAAATTTTAAGTAATAATTAAGTTTATGAAGAGAAAAGAGAAAAGGAAAGAAAAGAAATAGAAAAGAAAATTTGTTTCAAAATTTTTAATAAATTTCACGTAAATTATTATTCTGAAATATATTTTTCATAATAAAATTTCAAAATTATATATCGTGTTTTGTTCTTGCGAGATCGTAAGTAGAGATAATCTATATTTTGATCAAACACGAACACTAAAAGATCTTATCTTTTGAAATTTCTAAGGACAGTTTTGTAATAGTAGAGAGATATCGTAAGGCAGTTTCTTCGGGTTGTTTCATGTAATATTCAATGTAACATCGTACTTTATTATTATGACCGTTAAGATATCCGATTGGATATCCTACTGAAACTAGTTCTAAACGGCTGACACTAACTTCTAAGTAACATGGAAAACGATTCTCCAAGTCGACCATACCTAGCCCACTAACTTAGTTTCAGTCTTTCAGAAACGTAGGATACGGTTGAATAGGAAAAGAGAAAGAGGAGAACTAACGTAGAAACGTTGTGCCCGATTAAGGAGAAAAGCTACTCTAACAGCGTCAAATATAGACTGTTTTTATCAATTTTTTTTTATTTTTTTATTTTTTTTTTTTTGTAACAAATCAATAACTCAGTAAAAATAATCTTGTATATCATTAACACTAGATTTAATGACGTATTTTTATTGCATCCGTCAATATATAATAGGATACTAGAGTAAACACACTTTATTAGTTATTATTTTTAGTTCATCTATTTTTATAATAATAATAATAATAATAATAATAATAATAAACAAAAAATACTTTCAATTAACGTTTCTTTAATAATTGTAATTTTGGTAATTGTAAGAGAAATTTAAAATCCATTATACTTTCAGGTATAAATGTTAAATCAAAGATATTTTTAAAGTGTTAAAATCCAAAATATTATGATAAAATATCGTTTGTTTGTACTATAGTAAATAAAAAAATTCTTACGTAGTCGTTACGTATTTCGTAACACAATAATTTTCCATCGAAACTATATTCGATGGAAAATTGTTGTGTTACGAAATGACGACATTTTGATGAAAATATTAAAAAAAAAAAAAAAAAAAAAAAAAAAAGAAAATAAGCGAAAAGATTTTTAAGTACTCTATGAAAATTAATTTTTTTTTAATTGAAATAATTCCAAATAAAATCAATGATAATATAACGTTTTAAATATCCTATGTAAATTTCAAATCGTTCAGATATAAAAATTCATTGAGATAGTCGTACGCTCGATTAGAAAATTATACTTTCGAGTAATTATACTTACGAACGTAAAAAATTAATGAGCGTAAAAAATTATTACAATTCTGCCAATAGAACTCTGTTTAAATTTCGATATAATATAATTGCGAGAAAATATATTCGAAATGTCAGGAACATTACAAAAATTAAATAAAAAATTTTGATACATTCAAAACCTCATAACTTCTCAAACGTATGTACATACTTCTCCATCTCTTCTTCTTTTCTCTTAACAGTTACGTTACATAGTAAGCGTTGAATAAATAATAAAAAGTGCTTCTCAAAGAGGACATGAGTATCGCACGTAACTGCATTCTTTTTCTTTTTTTTTTTTTCCTTTCTTTCTGTTTCTTTTTTTCTTTTTTTCTTTTTTTCATTTTTTCTTTTTTCTTTCTTTCTGTTTCTTTTTTTCTTTTTTCTTTTTTTTTTTCTTTTTTCCTTTTTCCTTTTTTTTTCTTTTTTTTACCGTACCATCGAAAAGCCCTTCTTTCTCGTGGGTATAAAAAATAGATAAAAAGAGAGAAAGAATAGAGAAGAGAGAGAGAGAGAGAGAGAGAGAGAGAGAAAAGAAGAAGAAATAAGAGAATAACGATCATAATGAAAGGTGAGTTAGTACGTTCGTTGAAAGTACATAAGTGACTCGAGAGAACGTTAAAAACGTAACGAAGGTGACATTCATTGTTTGCAAAATAACGATTATTCCCGGTGCTCTTGCTAGTGCTCGAATTTACCAGCTTAAAGTTGCATGAATCAAAGAGTTGAAAGATTAAAGGGAGCCTTCTATGAAATTCATTTTAAACGGATGCCGCGCGAACCGTTTTAATATTCCATGGTTACATCAGAGTGCTGTGACGCTCTGGTAAGAGAGAGAGAGAGAGAGAGAGAGAGGGGAAAAGAAAGAGTAGATTGTTATTGTTATTATAATTATTATTGTTATTGTTATTGTTATTGTTATTGTTAATGTTATTGTTATTGTTATTCTTTTTAGTACTATTATTGTTATTTATATTATAATTGTCATTGTAATTATTATTGTTATTGATATTGTTACTGTTATCATTACTGTTATTGTTATTGTAATTATTAGTATCATTGCTATTGTTATTATTATAATTATTGCTATATTTGTCATTATTATTATTGTTATAATTATTGAAATTATTATTTTTATTGAAATTATTATTTTTATTGAAATTATTATTGCTTTTGTTATTGTTATTGTTATTATTACTATTATTGTCATTGTTATTAATATTCTTATTGTTATTGTTATACCCGCGAGCTTGCTTTGCTCGACGAGAATTAAACTTCCTTTTTCACGCGCAAACGTCGAGAAAGCACGATCAAGTCTCCCGATTTGATTTAATTAAACTTGGGTAGTATAATTTCTACATCGTTTCTCATAAAACGGTAGAGTACTCATCGATCCTTAAGAATTTCGTTTCGTTATATGTATTCTCGAATCTTTGTATATATATAAGTGACGTAAAATGTCATCATTGAATGACCATTTTAAAATATAGATAATAATTGTCGAGATATTTTAATCTGTATTAGAAAATTTCATTGGTTGGTCGATCGGTCGGTCGGGCGATCGTTGGAATTATTTTTCCCTGATAAGATATAATTCTTTACGATATTAGTTATAAAATATACACTATGAGCGATTAATGTTAATATATCGAGATATTTTATTTCATTATTAATTGTTATTATAACGTGTCCTAAGTATAACTAATTGATTAATAAAATCGAATATTAGAAGGAAAAATGTTGTATTATAATATATTATTTTATTATATTACGATATGCCCGTGACATATAATAATGATGGATCGATTTCTTTTATAATTAATTAAAATATAATGTAAAAAGTGATAAAGTACCACAACTGTTCGATTATCAATCATATTCACATTATACGGGTTAGAGTATTAACAAAATATATTTTTTAACCTGACTTTTCCATTAAGAAAATCTTTATCATAATATAAATGCTCGTTGCTATGTTTGATGATTTCAAAAAAAAAAAAAAAAAAAAAACCAATACATTTAATACACCCCTTCCCCTCCTCTTTTCGTCGTTCACTGATCATTTTTCAATAGGACAATATTTCAGTTTATGGTACCTCTGAAATAATATTCGAATGGATCACTTGCAAACAAACTTTCGTTTCGTTAACTTACATTAATTATATATTACTGTACATTAAATATATATATATATATATATATAATATTATATTTATTTTATTTCGTGATAACAAAAAAAGAAATTGATATATCGCGATAACATAATTTTATGATTTAAAAATACATTTAAAAAATACTTTCTTAATCAATCAATAAAAGTATTAAAATATTTGTCAATAATAAAATGGATGATATCATAAATATGTTTATCCTTTTTGATCTTTTAGTTTGCTTATTAAAAAAAAAAAACCTAGAATAATACAATAAGTTTATAAAAAGAGATAAAAGTTTCTTTGATTATCGATTAAAGGGAGATAAATTGCGATGAAATTTTCAATGAATTTTTATTAATAGTTAATTAAAACTAACGATCGTTGCAGGTGACGACGACGGACGGAGAACAACCGGACGACAGTTTTGACTTGATAGACGTACCACCGGAAATGTCGCCGCCACCTGTCGCGCCAACGTCGAAGGACACGCAAAGTAATTCTTCCGGCGCGCAACAAATCGTTCTTCCATTGGAGAAGGTCGATTCCAATCACGTAGAATATAATTCGAAAGGCACGGTCAACGTACAATCCAGCAGCACTGCCCAGCACGGTGCCATGTCGTCGCCGATTTCTGATATGGTAAACGACACGGGAGCACCCCCACCAACCCCTATGATTGGAGCTCATCAAGAGTGCAGGTTCACTTTTATTAGCGGTAGAACACCACCCCTTCCTGATCTAAGGGCAACCGAATTTTTCAGGTGAGAATTTCCTCCTACTTTATGTTTACGATAATCTTTTGTAAATGATATTTCAGTTTATTTTATCATTTATTTATTTCTATTTTCTTTTTTCTTTTTTCCTTCTTTCCTACAGATATTATGTATATATATAAAAAAAAAAAAAAAAACAAAAAAAAAAATAAATGATGGAGATACAAATTTTTCTATAGTTTCACCAAAGGAATATCGTTTAGTTTGCTTTCTTAATGGATCGTACGAATGATTTCATGTTTGAGTTACTCGTGAATGAACTAATGAACTATGGCTGTTTACGAATGTATGTTCAGTTTATGGTCAGAATATCTAATACTAAAGAGTTAGAACTTGGTTGCCGTATATATTGTCATTCGCTCATTTCAACGAAGAGACATTTCGATAAATACGTCCCGAGATTGTCCCTACTTCTCTCAAAGACATAAAAGCCGAAACAATGAAAGCTCGCGTTGATTGTCGAATTTAATGAGATAACTTTGTTCTAATGTATTCGCGTATATGTATTCGTATTAATGAAAAAAATAAAATATAAATTTTACATACCGTATATATTGAATATATTCTCTACAATGAGTATACTAAATCATTTTATTTTATCTTAACAATTTAATTTCATCTTATTATCTATCTATCAACATATCTTCAAATGTTAATCTTTTACTATTTAAACGATAGAAATTCTATTGGTAATAATTGAAAGGAATTTTGTGAAAAAGAAAAATCACTCTCGGAAAAAAAAAATTATTTCAATTATATAAAATATTATTTCAAACATTGCAACGTGATAACGCGTTTAAAGAGATAACCATCGATTTATATATTTTGTAAAATATCATTTTCGAATAAATATATTTTGTAGAAGAGAAAAATAACAAAAAAGATAAAATATTTTTTTCATCCACAAAAATATGTTTTTATCGTCGAAAATAATCAATTCCAGTTTTAAATGACACGACCGATATATCATGGTATTATTAGAAAAATATATTACACAAATATATATATACATATATCTGTGTGTGTGTGTGTGTATTAAAAAATCAACGTATAACATATATGCGATACATATAATTGTACTTACAATATAGATAAAGAATAAAATGGGAGCTCAATTAGTTGGATTTTCGTGGCTCGTTACGCGAGCTTGCTTCAGTCGAAATAATAGAAGCAATTTAATTGCGGGAGAACTAGTTTTGTCGGGACGAAATCCTCCCCTAGAAGCTCCCAGAAAGAACGATATATAGATAGAGATAGTGAGACCAGGATAGAACGAGATTAGCAGGCAAAAGAAAGGACGTATATTTTGCTTGAACTTCTGATCCCGTTATCGAATCAAAATGAAATTTATTGAGCAAAATTTAAACGAGGAATGAAGAATATTAATATATAATTATTCGAAAAAGTATTCGCACGTTATTTAATATTAAATAATTTTATATAATTTTGAAGAAAAGATTTTACGTTGTTTTAATAAATATCAAAAATAACCGTATGTTATGTGAGATATATCGATAATTAAAAAAAAAAAAAAAAAAAGAAAGAAACAAAAAAAATAAGAAGAAACAATCTTTTTTTTTGCAATAGCAATTAAATAAAGAAAATAAATTTTGTACACATTTTTTTATCGAATGCTTTTTTTTACAAAAAATTAATATATGCACATTTCGTATATCTGTGTTCGGTCTGATGCATACTTTATAAATATCATATAAATATCCACCAATTCTAAAACGAATTAAAACGAGTTATAATCATTTGAATATTTATAAAATTGCTAATATATCATAAAAATTAACATTTCAATAGAATTTAAAATAAACTTTGGATAAACATAATTTTCCGGGATTGTTCAATTTTCTTCCCGATATTTACAATATCTACATAACATAATCAGATGAGCGAAAAAAAAAAATATATATATATATATACATATATATTTATATATGTTCGTAAAAATTATTTTACATTTTTCGTAGAAATTAAAATTTACTTCTGTTTTAAAATTATTTCGTATTTATTAAAAAATTGAAAGCTCTTGTTTCAGATAATAAACT